CATACGCAGGCTTTGTCCGTTTTTTGATTGATCGTGTTTTCTTCTTATCAATATGTAGGAGCCTTATGTATTTTATGAATAATAACCTTTTATGGGCCATCTGGATTGCATTCTTTTTCAGTGCATATTGTTTGGGTTTTTTAATGGTATCTTCTGCTGAGCCAAACTGCTTAAATTTTGTGTCATCAAATATTTTCCTTTATGGCTTTTAGATTTCCTGTCTAGCTTGGAAAAGTCTCCACTCCCAGTTTACAAAAATATTTTCCTATGTATTTCTTAGATTTTAGATTAATCCATTAATTTTATCTGTAAGCGTTTAATTTATTTGGAATTTTTTTTTAACTGGTATGAGGTGAAAGTCCTTGTTTTTTCCAGATGCATAATCAATTGTGCCAGCACCGCTTATGAATAAATCGCCTTTCCCCGTTTAAATTTAAATACTACCTTTATTCTGCCTCAAGTGCTCATGCATACTAGAAGAGCTAATTAAAACACAAGCCCTGAAATCTATGCTTTGTTCATCGGGTTGACTAATGCACTTTAATGGTAAATGAGAATCGCTTTTTTAACAATGTGCTTGCGTGCCCACAGCTGCACTCTCCCGGCACGACACCAGCACCTTCTTTACTAATTGCCCTTGGAATTCATATGATGTATGTTGTTCATTAGTTCTTATTCCTATGCTTTCTGAGTTGTAGCTGGTCCAGGGAAGGCATTTTTTTTTGCTGTTGGACTGTTGGGCATAGTAGCCCATGCAGCGTTTTAATCATAAATTGTTATTGACACTTTATGAATTGTAAACAACAAAATCCATCATCTAAACACCTTAAGGAAGGGAATTAGTGTATATTTATTGTTCATGTATTTCTTTAATTTAGCCTTATCCAAATTCATCAGATATATTCTACACAATCAATTCACTTTTGACTTAATGCTATTGTATGATATATATCTATGGTGATTCAAGCAAATGAAGTATTGGCAATCTCTCTAGACATAAATGTAACCAAAAGTCATGAGATTTTATATACTGATAAAGGTTTTTAAGTTGCAGAACTCTTATTTAATGAAATATTTTTGATCTCATTTAAGAAGGTAAATTGACTTGAGGTTATTGTCTACATCACTGTAGTAATTGATTTAATGGACTGCTGTCCCACAGATTTATATATCACCCATGTGACTGGCTTGGACCCAGTCCTTAAAGAAATGGTTCTAGAGATTAAGTAGGTATATATAGGATCTTTTTACTTTAACTTAAAAATCTTAATTTTCTCATTTTTATTTATTTTAATTTTGAAGATAGCTAATATAAATAAAAGTTAAACCATTTTTGGTTATTTTTATTATCCTTGATAACTCAGGAGTAAATGAGATGAAGAAAATGGCTAAGACTGAAAGTGGACGTAAGTGGGCGTAGCTGGATTCTAGCTGTTCCCCTGGCACGATGTTCGGTGCTGTTTCTGAATAAAGAAGGTGTTTCTTTCCTCCTCATCCTTGTCACGAACCTTTGTGGGCATCATCACTGCTGCTTGTGGATGATCAGCTCTCCTCCTGCTGGACACATCCCAGGATCATTCCTTCCTGTCCCTGTCACATGAGGTGTTGCCAGGTGACTTGCTTTAGCCAATGCGATATGAATGAAAGTGACACGTTTGCTTCTGGGCTAAGCAAGTGAGAGCTGTGTGCAGCGGCCATGGCCCTGCCCTCCTCCATTTGACCAGAGAGGACATAGAGAAGAGCCCCCTGCTGACCTGCCCTGGACAGGGAGGGTGAATGGGAGCGAAACTTTTGTCGTTTGAGGACTTTTGAGATTTGGAGGCTCTTTGCTGTTACAGCGTAGCCTAGCTCGTCCTCCTAGGTACGGTCCTTTTATTAGTGTTAGGAAGCACTGGGAAGCAGGAGGTGTGTATTTAGGTTTCTTTCTAGTTCATTGTGACACATCCCCTCCTACTCTGATCCCCACAGAGGTGAGCGCTTCCTTGACTTTACCTGTTTGGCTAGAGTTGATGGGACACCTCCCCCAAAGCTGGGCCAGTCGAATTCTCTTTCGCAGGAATTTAGAGCAGATCCTGAGGGAAGCGCAGTCTTAGGTTTGGATGAATGAAACGACAAGTGACATTGGCCAGGGAGCCGCTCGGTCCTTCTGTGCAGAGATGCAGAGGACAGCCATTGCAAAGTAACTGAATAAAGAACGTGTGCAGAGAGCAGCAGGCCAAGGGACTCTGAGAGAGAGGGAGAAGAAGAGAGTATCTGAGGGGGAGAAGGAGAGTAAAGGAGAGAGAGAGGGAGAGGGAGAGAGAGAAAGAGGAGGGGGTGGGGAGAGAGAGAGAGAGGGAGAGAGTGTCTGAGGGGGAGAGGGAGAGAGAGAGGGAGAGAGACTCTGAGGGGGGGAGGGAGAACAGGAGAGGGAGAGAGAGAGACATTGAGAATGAGCGGGTGGGGAGAGAGAGGGAGAGAAAATCTGAGGGGGAGGTTTCTGCTTCAATTCCTGACTGCTCTTGAGTTTCTGGTCCTCATCCTTCCCAGGATGCTGTGAGGCACATGAGTACTGTGGTAAATCCTCCTCCCCTGTGCCATTTCCCCCTAATGTGGGTCGAAATGGGTTTCTGTTGGTTAAACCCAAAATCCTTGGTTAAGGCAGTATCCATTACAGGTGCTGTAACCCAGCCCTTCTGCCAATATTCCCGGAAAGATTCAAGGCAGCAGTTTCCATTTCCATTTGAAAATCTGCTTTTGCCTCAGAGTGCGGGTGCAGCTCTGCCACAGGGCCGCTGGACAGAACACACTAATAAGTCTCTACTTGTGAAAACAGAACTAAAGGAGTCTCTTAATCATCTGAAATGCGAGGAAGATAGGGTGTGGCCCATGCAATGCAGTGGAAACTGTTGAGTTTTGTGATCTGCCTCAACAATTTCTGAGAAAATCTGAGTCTAAGGCATCAAAAATCACGGAAGATTGTTGTAACACTAATTTTGGAGAGTCCTGTTGCATATAGGTTATCTCGTTAGAGGAAAAGGCATGCATGACATGGATGCCACATCCAACATAGAACCACAGGTGGTGGGCTCCTTTCTGATACAGGGAGAAATTTGGGGGTTAGATGGGAAGGGCATTGCTACCCCTAAGATTAACTTCTACTGAGAAAGGCTAGAAGAATAGAGAAGAGTATGCAGCATCCAAATATTGAAATAAATAATGTCTCCCACGCAATGATGACCCACCTTGAGGACTTCCCAGGGCAGGCAAAAAAGGGAAGGCTTTCCAGCAGGGTGGCACTAAAGCTAAAAGTGTATTTACATGAAGGTCGCTAATTGCCAAATAGTATCTTGGGGCCAGTATTAACAACTACTGATTCAAGGCTTGGAAAATGTCCACAACCTGGGAGAGGGCGGTGGTTGGCTGTGAATGAGGGGGCAGGGTCAGCACTGCCATTACGCTGGGTGTTTAGACTTTTACAAAAAAAGACAACAACAAATAGAGACAAGTCATTGGATTTGGGAAAACTCTCCCTAGATCTTACACTCTTTACGACTGTTCTAACTGAAATAACATATTAGAGTTTAATTAATTAAATTTTCGTTCATCCGTTCATTCAGTAAGTTTTTATTAAGCCTCTACTTTATGCTAGACGCAGTGTAGATCTCGAGATTACAATTCTGTCTTCTTAGGTCTTTTTATCTAATACAAAAGCTATAGAATTACAGTTTGCTAATAAAGAGTTTACTTAAATTTATTCAGACCCTACCCTGTTGCAGCAGGGATTTACAGAGGCTCGGAGATTATTTTAGTTAGCTTCAGATGTGGATTGTATTTGAATTGTTTAGGCTCCGTCGTCAGGAGCGATGCAGACTGCTGTTGTAAGCGTCCAGGCACAGATGCTTGTCGCCTAGTGGTGACGCGCGATGAAAACAGACGCAGGATCCTTAACATTCACTGGCGAGAAGTCTTTGTTCTGACAGTATTTCTCCAGTAACAGATGATGCACCACTAAAGCATCAGGAGTCTATATGATTGGGAGGCATATTTTTAAATCTGCTTTTGAATAGGCGATGCAGGAGCATGCCACACAGTTCTAGACTCACAATGGCATACATACGATAAACACCAACTCTCCCAGTCACCTCGCTCTGCTTCCTCAGGGCACTCACTTTTTTTGGTCTCTTCTTCCTGAGGTAATTGACGCAGTTTACACATAGGTATGTGTGTATATTACTCCCTCCAGAAATGATGGCACACTATATGTTGTTTGCACCTAACTCTTTGTTTGTTTGTTTAACATATCTTGGAGACCTTTCCTTAGCTGCACATGTAATGCTATCCCATTTTTTAAAATGATTTCATAATATTTCTTTGTAAGGATAAACTACAATTTATTTACTAGTTACCTATTATTGGTAGACAGTAGGTTGTTTGTCATCTTTTGCCTCTACAAAAAAATGTTTCAGTAAAGATCCCTGTACAAATGTGGAGCTAGAATCAAAGGGTATGTACACTTTCAGTTTTGGCAGGTGTTGCCAAATTGTCCTCCGCATGTGTCCTGGCAGTTACCATCTAACTAGCAATGTGTGAAATTCCCATCTTCCCACACTGTCTTCAACACTCTATGTTTTCAGATATTTTGGTGTTTGCCTATCTAATAGGTTAAATGGCATCTCATTATAGTTTTAATTTGCATTTCTTTTATTACAAATGATGTTGAATACCTTTTCATATGTTTAAGATCAATTCATAGTTCTTTTTTAGTGAGGTATCTGTTCATATTCTTTGCTTCTTTTCCTATTGGTTTGTTGACTTTTTTTATTGTTTGGAGGACCTCTTTATTAAAGAAATTAATTCTTTCTCTGGAATATGAGTTGCAAATATTTTTCTCCAATTTGTCATTTTTAAAAACTTTATTTTTTTAACAACTCGGAAATTTTAAATATTGATCAAATTTATTTCTCTTTTCTTTTTATTGCTTCTGGAATTTTAATCATACTTAGAAAGGCCATTCTCATTCTAAGATTAAGAAAAAATTCTCCTAGATTTTCTTCTTATGCTTTTACGGTTTGATGTTTCAGATTTATGTCTTTGATCCATTCAGAATTAACTTTATTAGAAGGTGTGGGTAATGACCCTATGTTCTCATTCTTCCCTCTGGCTGGCTAACCACTGGTCTCACCACACAGCACTGCGTGAGAGGATTTTAAAGTAGTGTGAGAAGTTCTATAGCAGTGAGAGCAGGTGCAAAGGCACTCTGGAGGATCCCAGTGAGGAATTCTGACACCCTCCTTTGCCTGGGCTGTCTCTCTTTCCTCTTCCTTCCTGCCCCGACCTGGGCTGCTCTTGATTTTTGTTGCTCTGTCTAATTCCTGGATGTTCCTACGGGGTCTCCTATTCCCAGAGTGAACTGGATTAGCCTTGCTGCTTGCTGTTGGAAGAAAAGAGTGAGTCGGTACACGCATGTGTCTATGTGGTGAGGCCTTGACAGAGCTGTAACTAAACTCAAGGTGCGCATGAGGCTGGATGATTCCTGTTATTTAACATTCAAGCTTCTTGGGCCTTTGAGTAGAGGCTGACTTCTTGGCGAGGTGACGGAGATGCTCTTGGAGATTGAAGACTGCATGTATTTTTCAAATCATTTTGCTGTTGATCTAACATTTATTGTACAATGTTGTTTAGAAGTTGGTATAATATGTACTTAATGAGTATGCTTGTATTTCTTTGTGTAAATGTATTGTTTATCAATACAAGGTACTCGTGTTGTGGATTTTTTATTCTTTGCTTAGTCCTTAGACAATAGGGACTCTGAAGTCAGTCTTAAAGCTGACCTTATTTCTCTTGTGGCAGCAACTTTCTTAGGAAGGCATGGATGATTTTTAAAAAAATTACTTGGAATAAAGCTTGGCATAAAGCATGATATCTAGAAAGCTGAAGCTGGCACCAGGCTTAGTTCACTCTTCTTTTCTCTTGGCACACCTCCTCCACCCCCTTCTTGATCCATGTGCAGTCTCTTATCCCCCTGAGATATCCCCCTGCCCCTGAATCTGGAACCTTCAACCCTCCTCACCTTCATAGCTTCTACCCTCCGTCTTATAAACACATTCAAGCCTCTCATCTTTACCAACAAAGAAGTAAACCAATCCCTCTCAGCCTTTCCAATCCCCCTTTGAACTAGTGCTTACTCTCTTATCCTCCTTCTTATTCAAGTTTCTTGAAAGAATAGTCTCCTCTTGCTTTCACTAGCTCATTCCTCAACCTGCTGTTGTCAGGCTCACCCGTGTCATACCATTAATATGCCTCTTGTTTGGGTCAACGATGACATCCTCTAGTTGCTACATCCATTGGATATTTTCCAGTCTCTACCCTAATGGAACATTCTCTGCTGGATTTGTTCATTAGGCACTGCTCATTGCATCCTTCTTCCCAATGATGACATGTTCCTCTCTTTCTTTGACTAGTCTTTCTCTCTCAAAGTTGGTTCTTTCTTCCTCTTCCCAATGCTTAAATATCAAGTGGTCCCCAAGGTTCTGGCCTGAACCATTGTTTTTATGGCTTCACATACTCTTTGTGGGTGATATCGTGCACTCTTTGGGTACCAACTGCTGTATAATTGGAAACAACTCCTCTATCTTTATATCCCAGCAGACCTCCACCCTGATCCCTAGATTAAAGAATCCATCCACTTCTTGTGACCCTACAGGTCCTCAAACGCAGATGATGACTGGACTCCTTACCTGCCTTCTCCGTTAGCTCCTCCTCCTCTATTCTCCATCTGAGTCAACAGCATCACCCTTCACTCAGTTGCCAAGAAGGACCCCAGACCAGAGGCCTTATTGCCTCTTCTCCTTTCTTCCTCCTTATATCCAAAGGAGCACCAGCTTCCAGCGATTTCACTTTGATCTGTCGTCTTCTCTGCCACAGTTCAGGTCTTCAGCCATTGTCACCTGGAATATTTTTACTTGATCACTTTGATTCTGGTCAGACTCATTTTTTGTAAAGTTCCCAGAGGAATCTTTTAAAAATGCACGTCTTACTAGGCCACTCCTCTTCTGTGGCTCCTTGTTGCTTGTTGGGATAAGGCCAGTCTGTGGGCTGTACCATAAGACCATCTGATCCGCCCTGCCTCCACCTCTACCCATCTCTTGCTTCTCCTTGCCTGACACTTCTTTCGCATTCCACAGTGCATACAGTGGTGTTCCCTGGCCTCTGTTCCTTTGTTCAGGCTGTCCCCTCAGACCATCCCCCTCTATCTTTGCCTGAAGTGATGTTTACTCTCCCCTAGGACAGCTCAGGCATCACCCCCTGGGGAAATTCTCGCTTTCTGTTTAGGTGGCCTTCATAGGAGATTCAGAATACTCAGCACCTAGCTTTATCATGGCACCTACCCTTTTTTTTCTTCTAAATAATTATTACTTAGGCATCTCTCCCCCTACACTGGGCTAAAGGGCAAAGATAGATACTTTCATTTTGTATCTCCTGTACTGAATTCAGAGCTTAAGACATGTGTTAACTCAGTCAATGCTGGTTGAATTAATCTTGAATGAGTGAATGAATGATTGAAATTCAACAACTGTTGGTATACAGATAAACATGACGTTGTTGACTCAGAAAATATCTCAGGAAGAATTTTTTATTAAGCCATATATAAATACAAATTCACATCCTTGCTTATATTTATCAAGAATCTGAGGCAAGAACCTTAGAGAATTCTACATTTTTCTGCCATTCCCTTTTTCCATTGGCCTGAATTTCTTGTTTGCTGGAGACTGTTAAACATACTTATATCCTCTTATTGTGATGCTACTGAAAGATAGATTGAGAGAGGAATATTGGCAAATGTAAGTAGCACATTGATATGGCTTCTTTAAAATTTGCTTTCAAGGCTGTTCTAAGCCATTTTGATAAAAAAGTTAACTATTTTTTTTAAACATCCAGAAGTCATAGGTAGCTTACCCCAGTACCAGGTGACATTACTTGAGGGGAGGGACATAGCAGTTGTGGCACCCTCATTAACTTGTCTGTGGAGCAGTTGTCCTATGGAGTGGCCCCCCTCTTGAATTAGTATGTTACTAGTAGAGTCTCTTAAGAGACCAGACTGCAATAGGAGCACTGCATGCCCAGTGGTTGATATACGGTCTTCAATCATTGCTCCATATTACCGAGCCTTCATCCACACTCAGTCAGCTAGCACAGTCAGCCGCATTAGGAAATGAAGGCCAGCTTTTGTTCAGCAATGCGTTTGATAAATTCAATCTTCTAAACCTGGAGCTAGGTGATGATATGGCTAGTTTGTGTTCAAATGGAGAATAATTTGTTGTGATTTTTCCTGTGCAGTGTCACTCGTGCTGAATCTCATTACCTGGTGGAGGTGATTGCTCACCAAGATCTCTGGCCTCCATTCTCTCCTGATGAGTCTGCCCACCCTTCCCGTTCTCCATATTTTACCGCAATTTTCAGCTGATATCAGCATGTAGCGTGTCCTGCTGTAAGTAATAAAACATTAGGGAGGATTACGTGATGTCTTAAAATATTAGGGAATAGTTGTAAATCACATAAAATGATTTTCCTTTGTTTGGATTTTCTAATCATGACCTCTCTGTAATGGGAATGTCTAAATATGAGGCATTGGAGTATTAAAGTGGCCCATTGTCTGGAGACTCATCTTCTCATTGGTCTATGAAAGCCTAGAGGGTGCCTTGTCATGCCTGTTCCATAGCCGTCCATTCCTGAAGCCCCAACAGAGGGAGCAGGGTAGAGCTAGTTGATATGGAGCTGTGGTTGGGGCTGACATGCAGTTATAACTGCATGGAGTATTTCCAGGGCATTGAGAAATACAGGGGAAGGAGGATGGCTGAAATGGGATTTAGAGTGGAACCATATGGGAAAATTGTTGCATGTGTTTTCACTCTTAATTATTTCACAGTAATTATTATTAAAAATAAAAATTGCAATATGCTGTGTGATTTTGATATTTAAATCTATTAAAATGAAATTAATAATAGTTAATCCATATTTCCTAGATAACAATAGCATATATACTTTTGTATATTTTGTACAAATATTAGTCCTTTTATTATTATCTTAAACAGTTATTTTTTGCAGATCATAAAGTGTGACTATTCTTTATACTTGGAGGATTTTTTTTCTTTTTTGTTGGGAAAGATTCGCCCTGAACTAACATCTGTTGCCAATCTTCCTCTCTTTTTTTTCTCCCCCCAAAGTCCCAGTACACAGTTGTATATTTTAGTTATTATTCCTTTTATGTGAGCTGCTGCCACAGCATGGCTACTGACAGATGCGTGGTGTGGTTCTGCCTGGGAACTGAACCCGGGCAGCTGAAGTGGAGCATGTCGAACTTTAACCACTAGGCCATCAGGGCTGGCTCTGGAGGGTTTGTTGTTGTTGTTGTTTTGATACCTGTGCTTTAGCAAAGGCTTAAGGAACAATATAATAACTAAATAATCGGTGGATGATGCACTTTCCTAATATGTTAGTTATGTACCAAAATGTGTACTATATTTTCGTAGTTTATTTTTAAATGCATCCAGGAAAGGTTGCCATTTAAAGGAATCCTTAGGGAAGGTTTTGTAAAGCAAATTCTCACCCCCTAACTGAATGTTTATGTGTTGGGTTTGCTTAAAGTGGTTCTATGTAAAATTCCAATAGAGTTTTAGAATCCAACAGAAAGCATTCCTGGAATGTGGATATGTTCTAAGGTGAAGTTATCAGGCTTTAATTCTCACTGAGATTTTCTGGCACATCCACAGTGGGTTTTTCCCTAACAGAAAATAAATCTGAAGTTGAGAGTCTGTTTTGATGAGAGCTTAGGAGGCAATTTCTCTACTGAGAACACGTTGCCCCCATGGCCTCCAGGCCTGGCAGCAGTCCCTTGGCACACAGCTTGCCTCCGTGCTGCGGGGTTGCACGGGTCCACCTGGATGTGAGCCTCCCCTTGCTGGGCCTCTCGCCTGCATCCAGGGGCAGCGCTTGCAATTGTGGCTGCTCCGAGGTGAAATCTGAACTCATAAAATGTTCAGGATGCTTTTTTTCCAAATTAAAATGATGTTTGACCTGTGTTTTACGTGACCCTGCAGAGAGATGTGAAGGTCAGAAAGCCAAAACCACATCCAGTTTCACTTGAGACAGCCCGTTCCCTGTCCTCCGACTGGTGCTTTCGTTGGTCTCACATGCCTCCTTAAAATGCTTTAACTTCGTGTGCATTTCTGGCTCCAAATCACAACTAAAAGTAAACGAATCTACTGTAAAAAATAAAAAAACAAGGGAGGGGCCGGCCTGGTGGCTAGTGGTTAAGTTCTTGCTCTGCTTCGGTGGCCTGGGTTTGCTGGTTCGGATCCTGGGTGTGGACCTATGTACTGCTTGGCAAGCCATGCTGTGGCAGGCATCCCACATATAAAGTAGAGGAAGATGGGCATGGATGTTAGCTCAGGGCCAGTCTTCCTCAGCAAAAAGAGCAAGATCGGCAGCAGATGTTAGCTCAGGGCTAATCTTCCTCAAAAAAAAAAAAAAAAAACCCCAAAGGAGCTCAAACCACAATGTAAACAAAAATGGCTCTCACAAAAATGGCCTGCTGACAGTTCTGTCAGAGTTTGTCACTTTGTATGTGGCTGACTTGACCTCACTTGGTGGAATGTCATCGCATCTACTGCTGGCCCTGTGCCCTCATGTCAGGCCTATGGGGGAGCTGCTTTCTAGATTGGGCAAGGGAGAACTTGCCCCCTCTCTGAGCTCCTTATCCGGTCTTCACGGTGCCCACATTGCAGCATATTGCTAGAGTTTAGAAAAAGGTTGATTTTTGTGTATGATCCTCAGCCCTCTGGAGGTGAGAGAGCCACAGATGTACAGGGGTGTGTGTGCGTGTGTAAACTGATAATGTACAGCTGCCTTAGGATAAGGCAATATGATTTATTTAGTATTACTAAGTAATAGTGCTTACTAACTACTTGCATTAATGTCTCAGTATTCCTTAAGATTATATATATATATATGATTTATGAAACAGCAAAACAAACAGTAAAACACAAAATAGAAATAGATTAAAAAATATAAAACAGTAGAAAAAAAGCACTATGACAAAATAGTGGGCAATTTAAATTGAAAGAAAACAAATACAATTTAAAGGCAGTGTGGTCCCCTTCCAGAGACTGCCCAGTGGCGTGGGGGCGGCGATCTGGGCCCCAGCCCTCAGGGCGAGCACAGCAGACCCTGAGCCTGGATGTCCTCCTGGAGGGGGTCTTTCCCCTCCCATTTCAGGTGGCAGGAGGAAGCTGACCTCATGTTGACAAATGGCAGTTTGTTTAATGAACGTGGAGGAATTTTCTCTCTAAAGCAAGAGTTCCTGTTCTGGGTGTGGAGTTCATGTATGAAACTAGGGGTCTCTGACCCTTGAGATTAGGTACAAACTTTTGTAGGTATTTGTGCGTGCATTTGTGGGGATGGGTTTGCGTGTGTGTACATTTTTCTGGGGATAGGTTCTGTCCCTTTTATCAGATTCTCCAAGGGTGTGTGAAGACTCCCATGCTGGTCAGGCAACCATCTCCCAAACCACTTAGGATGTTAGATCATGGGGATCGTAGATGGTATTATTGCTCAGAACTTTGCACCGCGTCTCCCTGTTGCCCGCTTCTGCAGGAGGTTTAGAGTCCCACCCCACTGATGTTGGATTTGGCCATTCAGCTTGCTTTGGCCAAGGAAATGTGAGTGGTGGTGGCACATGCCGCTCCTGAGCCTACAAGCTTGAAGAGCCATTGCATGGTTCCACTGTAAGTTACTCTGTACCTTTGCGATAAGACTGATGTGTCCCAGAGGGGCTGTGCCTATGGCTTGGGCTGGGAATGAAGATGCTGGAGCTGAAGCTGACTCGTGAGCATGTTACACAGTGAGGACTGGAGCATATTCTTGTAAGTCATCGAGATTTGGGGGTTCTTTACTCCTGGCAGCATAATAGCTGAGCTGACTGATCCAACAGACGATGGCCAGACTTAGGTTCAGAATCCAGCAGGCACGATGGAGAGCCCGGGTGTAATGAGCGTCGTGTGGTTTTGTGCATTTAGAAGTGACACATTTTTCCTGTGTATTCTTTGTGGTCCTTCAGGGTTTCCCCTTGGAGTCAGAAATAAGACTTCAGTCCTGTGGGTCAGTCGATTAGGAGTTAGAGAGCCCATTTTGTCATGTTAGAATCCTTCTCTCTGGCAGGAGGGAGCCTCTCCGGACCTGTTTCTTCTGTCTGCCCCATGGCTAGTGTGTGCAGGAAAGAATTACTGATCTGAGGAATGTCTGAGGTCGGGAATGGCTCTCGGAAGCATAACACAAGCCACCTATCGCAGTGGGTATGAACATATTGAATTGTGGGGCGCATATCATTTGTGGCGCAAAGTATACTGCAGATTCATTTTCTAAAATGCTGTCTTACTCCAGCCATGACAAGGATGGAGAATAGGTGTTACCACAATAGAGCACAATGAAGGGCCACCAGGAAAGAAAGCAGACTTCAGAGGTGGCTCATAAACAAAGTACTACCTTGGAGAAAATAAAGCAGCCATCCATTACCCACACATAGTGTGTAGAAATCAGGGCAAGCACTTCATCCCCTCCTGACGGCTAGAGGTCAGAACTCCCACAAGGGAAACCCTGCAAAGCCCGTGCTTTAGTCAGAACGGGCTGCCCCTGACTCAGAGAGCGCTTGTGTCTTTGGGGAGATTTGGTTTATTCCATGCACCAGATTCTTAACTATTGCCACCATGAAGCAGTTTCAGCTGTTAATAATTTTATTGTTTAAAAAAAATCTGTGCTAACTTAATTATCCCTACCGACTGAAAATGGAGCAGATTGATGGCCAGCTCATGAAAGATCTGCCCTGGAGCCTTTTACTCAATGGAAAATGATTCCAGGAAACCGTGTTGTACAGTTATTGATACCCTCACTGGATGATTTCTCCCTAATCTAGCACATCTAAGAAAATGTTCAACTTCTTTTCATCACAGATTGTAAGACTTTATTTCATTCACTTTATGGCGTTTGTTCATTTATTTAACAGCTGTTTATTGATTGCCTGGTCATTGCCAGGGCCTGTTCTTGGAGCTGGAGCTGGGCAGCCTGTCCGCAGAGGGCTCACGCTCTGGTGGGAGAAGACAGACGTTAAGTACCAACAAGAAAATAAGTAACTGTGTAATATGTCCCATGGTGATCAACATTGAAAATAAGAAAGCAGAGTAAGGGGAGATGGAGAGCTGGAGACGTGGGATGCTGCTTCTGGAGTGCGGCCAGGGCAGTGCTCCCGCCCGGGAGTTCAGGGCCGTGAGTGCAGTGAGGGCATGGCCGTGGGAGTGGCTGGGGGAAGGGCGGGAGCTGGGTTTATGTCTCCTTTTACTCAGATATATTCCTGAGAAGTGGTATGTAAATTGAGTTTTAAGCCTATTATGGAAACTTCTTATAACTTGTTTTTCCCTAAAAATCTCTCTAAAATGAGGACCCCATCGGTAAAATGAACAATTATGCTTTAAAAGTGTCTGCATTGTGAGTGCAAGCGTCCACATATTGAACTTACTTTAAGCAGGTTACGAACATTTAGGGTAAAATGTTACAGGTGAATGAGGACAAGAACAGTTGGAATGAGTAAAAAGTCTTGGATGTAGAATTTTTTAAAAAGTTATTATTTTAAACTATGTATAATAATCAAATCAGCAGTGTTGTCTGCTGGCGGCTCTTACGTTCCTCTTTGAATTAATAACCAGAACGCTTTATTATTAGCATATGAAAATCACAAGTGCTTTCAAAATATCTTATAGCTCTTAAAAAGTGATTTCTGTAGTCAAGTCAGCGTTGTCTTTGTCCTTTTATGTGCACTGAGGATGTGCAGGAAATACGTGTTTTCAGAATGAATGCAGGCGTAACTCAGGCCTGGGGCAGCTGATCACAGTTTTCGAATAAACGTGTTTAAGCCTCCGAGAAGGTCCTCTGCCCTTGACGTTCACCCCTCCTGCATTCAGCGATTGTTTTGAAAAACAAAACAAAACAAAAGTGTTAACAGAAGACAGTGAATTACCAAACTTGTCATCACTCCATTTTAAAAGCAACTCTTATGTATAAACTTTGACTTTATAACACAAATTGCATGATCTGGTGGTCGAGGTTCAACCTCAGGGGATCTCCGCTTTGATTGCCGTTGCTGTTTCAGAACGGGAAGGTGCCTGTTAATTTGGAGAAGAGCACACCTGTTGTGAAGGTGGGCCGTCAGTATCAAGAAGAGGGTCCCTCCTGCCCGTCACTCCTTGCATCCCCCCTTCAGTAGGTACAGGACATGTCAGATGCTGAAGAGCGGAATCAGGCCCATCCTTTTCGGACGAGTGTCAGGACATTTTAGGGTAATGCTTGTGTGACACCATCCCCACCTCCCCCTATGGAAGAACACTCAGTGAATCATCCACATTGTTCCCTCTGCTGTCCCAAGTTTACTGATTACAGCTGTCTTTCTTAGGTTCCCTGAGATGAGGTTTCCATGTATTTTTTCTGTCGAGTTAAATAGCGTAGCTGTTACTTTCAATATGTGAAAACATTTGTCTCCTCACGGCACAATGGTATTTTATGAGCAAGCACTTCATTCTTAGTTTATGAGTGTACATTGTCTTAAAAATTGTTCAAACTTGGCTTATTTCTCTTTTCTGAGAAATCTGTTTTCTATTTTCTGTGTGTTTTGTCCCCTAAAGAGTCTTTTTGTTCATATCTGGGACTTGAAATAGGGCCTAACAGTATTAGAAAGCCAGTGGATCCTCTCTGGAGCCCCAGACACAGCCCAAGTGTTTGAGAGTGAGGGTCAGCTTGCTTCCTGGGTCCAGCAAACGTCGACCTCTCTGTCTGTCTGTCTATCTGTCTATTTATATCTGTCTGTCCATCTATCCATCTATCTACCACGCCTATCTATCTGTCTATTTATATCTGTCTGTCTGTCTCTGTCTACCTGTTTGTCTGTCTGTCTACGCCCCGCCTTTGCAGCTCTCTGGATGATACTGTAAACTGGGCTTTCTTCTTGCACTTCTGACGCTGTACCTGCTGTCCTGGTTTCCTAGGGCTGCTGGAACAAGTTCTCACACACTCGGCGGCTTAAACCGAGAGATGGATTCTCTCGTGGTCCTGGAGGTAGAAGTCAGAAGTCGAGGCGTCAGCAGGGCCATGCTCAATGACAGTCTCTGGCGAAGGATCTTTCCTTGCCTCTTCTCGCTCCTGGTGCTTTTCCAGCAGTCCTTAGGGTTTCTGGGTTGTAGACACGTGGCTCCAGTCTCTGCTTCTGCCATCATGTGGCATTCTCCCTGTGTGTCTCTGTTTTCACACATTGTTCTTGTCTCTGTGTCTCTGTCCAAATTTCCCTCTTCTTATAAGGACACCAGTCATTGGATTAGGGCTCCCCCTAACCCAGGATGACCTCGTCTTAACTTGAGGACATCTACAAAGACCCTATTTCCAGATAAGGTCCCATTGAGGTTGCCAGTGGGCATGACTTTTGGGGGATGCTATTCAACCCAGTAGGGCTATTTCACCCGCAGCTTATACATGGCCAAATATAGTCAATTCTAGTCTAAGGCTTTCTTTTGGTAAATGTTTCAAATACATGCATAATTTTCTTCTTTTGTAAACTTTCTAATGAGATTTAACATACATGCAGAAAAGTCCATAAATTCTAAGTGAATGAATTTTTACAGATTAAACTACTGTGAAGCCATGTAAGTACCACTCAGATTAAGAAATAGAACATTGCCAGAAACCCAGAAGCCTTTGTCATGTCTTTTCCTGTTCATTGTTCCCCTAGAGTAAACTCTATTATGACTTTTATCACCATAGATTAGTTTTGCTTGTATTTGAATTGTTTTTTAAAGATTTTGTTTTTCCTTTTTCTCCCTAAAGCCCCCCAGTACATAGTTGTGTATTTTTAATTGTGGGTCCTTCTAGTTGTGACACATGGGATGCCACCTCAGCATGGCCTGATGAGTGCTGCCATGTCCATGCGCAGGATCCGAGCAGGCGAAACCCTGGGTCCCTGCAGCAGAGCACGCGAACTTAACCACTCGTCCACAGGGTTGGCCCCTTGTATTTGAATTTGTTATGTATTCACATTCTTTTGTGTTTGGCTTTTTTGCCCAACTTTTTGGGCAAAAACAGTGAGTTTCATTCAAGTCATGGTGCGTATAGTTGTTCATTTTCTTTGCTGCATAGTATTCCATTCTGTGAATATGCTGCAACTGTTTTTCCGTGCTGCTGCTGCTGCTGGACATTTGAATTACTTCCAGTTTTTTGAAATTGTGAATAACACTTTGTGAATTTTTGTGCATGTCTTTGGATGCACATGTATTTGTGTCTGTGTTAGACACATGCTTAAGAGTAGAATTATTAGGTATGGAGTATATGTTTATTTAGCATTAGCTAAATTAGTTGCTCCACATCTTTGCCAATACTTGAAGTTTTAAAAATCTTTTAGCCTTTTTGGTAAGTGTATAGTAAGATCTTATTGTATTTTTAATTTGCATTTCCCTAATGACTGACAATGTTGAACACCTTTTAATATGTTAATTTGCCATTCAGATGTCATCTTTTGTGTAGCGTCTTTTTTTTTTTTTTTAAAGATTGGCACCAGAGCTAACAACTGTTGCCAATCTTCCCTTTTTTATTCCCCTGCTTTTTCTCCTCCAATGCCCCCAGTACATAGTTGTGTATTTTTCATTGTGGGTCCTTCTAGTTGTGGCTTGTGAGACGCCGCCTCAACATGGCTTGATGAGCAGTGCCATGTCCTCACCCAGGATCCCAACTGGCGAAACCCTGGGCCACCAAAGCAGAGTGCACAAACTTAACCACTCGGCCACGGGGCCGGCCCCTGCGTAGTGTCTTTTTAAGTCTTTTGTCCTTCATTTTATTGGATTTAGCTATCTTTTTATTATTGCTTTATAACAGTATTTTACATATTCAGGATATGAATTCTTGTCAGATATATGTAGTTCAAAAATCTCCTAAGCTAATTTGTTTTCTCTCTCTTAATGGTGTCTTTTGATGAATATAAATTTTTTTTTTTGAGGAAGATTAGCCCTGAGCTAACTGCTGCCAATCCTCCTCTTTTTGCTGAGGAAGACTGGCTCTGAGCTAACATCTGTGCCCATCTTCCTCTGCTTTATATGTGGGACGCCTACCACAGCATGGCTTTTGCCAAGCAGTGCCATGTCCACACCCGGGATCCGAATCGGTGAACCCTGGGCCGCCGAGAAGCAGAACGTTGAACTTAACCACTGCAGCACCGGGCTGGCCCCTAAATTCTTAATTTTAATCAAGTCTGTTTGTCTGTCTTTCCCTTTATGGTGAGAGCTTTTTATGTCTTGTTGAAGAAATCTCTGTTTGCTCCAAGGTCATAGAGATATTATCAGATGTTATCTTCTGGAGATTTATTTTTACCTTTTACATTTAGGCCTGTGATCCATTTAGAACTGATTTATATGTCCATATGAAATATAAGTCACAGTTGTTTTTTCCCATATGGATGTCTGATTGATCCAGCACCATTTATTGAAAAGATCATGCTTTCTCACTCTTATTGAAAATAAGGTGATTGTATATGTGTAGATCAGGTACTGGACTTTCTAGTCTGTTCTTTGTTTAACTTTGTGCCAATACTATTTTGTTTTTATTACTATAGCTTTATAATAAATCTTGATATCTAGTAGTATAAAACCTCTAAGTTTGCTATTCTTTTTAAAGACTGTCTTGGCTATTCTTGGCTTTTTGCATTTCAATGAAAATTTTTGAAACAGCTTGTGAATTTCTAATGAAAATACCTACTAGGAGTTTGATTTGGAGTTATTGACCGTACAGATTAATTTGAAGAGAATTGAGGTCTTTATAATATTGAGTTTTCTAATCAATGAAAATGATATATTCCCCTATTTCATGGGTTAGCAACCTTTTTCTGTAGAGTCAGATAGTAAATATTTTAGGCTTTCTGGGCTACTCCTTGTCACGTATTCTGATTCTTCTTCCTGTTTGTTTCACAACCTTTTAAACTTGTGAAACCTCTTCATTCACGGGTAGCACAGAGACGGCTGCAGGCTGCGGTTTGCCGCTCTCCGCTCTATCTTTTGGGTTTTCTTCAACGTGTCTTAATAGTGCCTTATAGTTGTCTGTGTAGAGTCCTTGCCTGTCTTTCATTATATTTAGTTTTATCTATTTGGTGATTTTTGTACTATTGTAAGGAAAAGTTTTTAACAATTTATTTTTCCAATTGCTTGTTGCTTGTGTATAGAAATAAGATAGATTTTTGTACATTTACTTTTTGTTCGGTGATCTTACTAAATTTATTTATTTATTGTAATAGTTGATCTGAGATTCTGTTGGAGCTTCTACAAATAAATAATGTCATGTGCTAACTGTAGGGTTCTTTGTCTTGCTTTCCAAACTTCAGAACATTTGTTCGCTTTCTCATCGTACTGCACTGGCTGGGACTTCCAGAACACGGCTGAGCAGAAGTGATGACTGTGAACATCTTTTCCTTTCAAGAAGGCATTTCAATGTTACAGTTAAGTAAAATACTAGCTATAGGATTTTTGTAGCTACTTTTTACCAGATTAAACATGGTCCCTTCTGTTTCTAGTTTGTTGAGTTATTTTTAAATCATTAATCAGCATTGAATTTTATCAAATGCTTTTTCTGCATCTATTAAGATGATATGATTTTTCTCCTTTATTAGTTAAAGTGGTAAAGTGTAATTTTTAAATTATATTTTAGTTTCAAATGTTAAACTAACCTTGCATTGCGGGGATAAACTCCGTTGATAATTGTGTATTATCCTTTAATACCTCTTTTACTGTTGTTTTACTGGTGTGTATTTTCATGACAGAGCTTGGCCTGTAGTTTTCCCCTTTTTGAAATGTCCCCATGTTTTGATATAGAGGTTATGCTAACCTTTTTTCTATTCTCTTTTTCTATTCTCTGAAACAATTCGTGTAGTGAGTGAAGCTGTCTTGGTCCCTCGAGTCCCCCTAGCTGCCCACTGAGTACCAGTGAGTGGCCCCAGTCAGTGTTGCATAGAGCAGAAGAATTGTCTCAGTTTTGCCTGAATTCATGACCCACAAAAACATGAAATAGAATTAAATGGTTATTGTTTTAATCCACTAAGTTTTAGGGTACTAAGTATGTAGTAGTATCATTGTAGTTTTTAATTTGAATTTTTAAAATAGAATAATAATTTTAAGAAACTTTTCATGTACTTCTCTGCCATGCATGTATCTTCCTTGGTGAAGTGTCTTTTGAAATCTTGGGTCCACTGATTTCATTGGCTCTTTAGTTATTATTGAGTTTTGAGCATTCTTTATATATTCTAGATACAAGTCCTTTATCAGATATATGTTTTGCAGATATTTTCTCCCAGTTTGTGACTTACCTCTTAATTTCCTTAACAGTGTATTACAAAGAGCAAAAGTTTTTCATTTTGATGAAGTCCAATTTATAAATCTTTTCTTTCATGGTTTTTCCTTTTGTGTCTTATCTAAGAGATATTTGCCTAACCAAAGGTTGCAAATATTTTCCCTTGTTTTCTTCTACATGTTTTATAGTTTAATTCTTAACACTATGGTTATGATCCATTTTGTGTTAACTTTTGTTGATGGTGTAAAATAAGGTTTGAGGTTTATATCTTCCATATGGATATCCAGTTGTTGTGGTACCTTTTGTTGAAAATTATCTTTTCTCCTTTGAATTACCTTGGTAGCTTTGTTGGAAGTGAATTGACTGTATATGTGTATATCTATGCTTGGACTTTCTACTCTGTTCCATTGACCGATATGTCAATCCTTATTAATATCACATTGTCCAAATAACTGTAGTCTTATAGTAAACTTTGCAAACAGGCTATGTGCATCCTTCAACTTTGTTTTTCCTTTTAGAAATTGTATGTTCTCTCTTTCATATGAATTTTAGAATCAGCTTGTCAATTAAAAAAATCCTGCTGATCTTTTGCTATGGATCGTATTGAATCTATAGATCAACTTGGAGATATTTGAGATCTTAACAATATTGAATCTTCTGACCCATGAACACGGCATATCTCTCTATTTATTTAAGTCATAATTGATTCTCTCAGAAATGTTTTGTAGTTTTCAGTATAATGGATCATGCACAGATTTTGTTAAATGTATTTCTGAGTATTCGTGTTTCTTGATGCTATTGTAAATTATATTCTTTTAAAATTACAATTTTCAGTTGTTCATTGATATTATTAGAAAAACATTTGACTTTTGTATACTGACCTTGAATCCTGTATCATTGCTAAACTCACTTACTAGTTCTAGTAGCTTTTTTGTAGATTCCTTGTGATTTTCCAGATAATTTTTACTTTCAGCAGTCACACATATTTTTAAGAACTTAAAGGATAAATACAGTCTCTTATATGTGTCCACATACTTATCATTTGTGCTGCTCTTTCATTCTTGAAGTTCAATACTTTCCTTTGGCATTATTTTTTTTATCCTGAAAAAATTTCTTAAGACTTCTTCTTTTTTTTCCTTTTTGAGGAAGACTAACCCTGAGTTAACATCTGCTGCCAATCCTCCTCTTTTTGCTGACAAGACTGGCCCTGAGCTAACATCTGTGCCCACCCTCCTCTATTTTATATGTGGGACGTGTACCACAGCATGGCTTGATAAGTGGTGTGTAGGTCTGCCCCCAGGATCTGAACCGGCGAACCCCTGGCCCGCCGAAGTGGAGCATGCTAACTTAACCGCTACACCACCAGGCCGGCCCCAAGATATCTTTTTCAGCAAGAGTGTTGGCAACAAAGTTTTAGTTTTCTTTCATCTCAGAATGATCTTATTTTGCTTTTGTTCTTAAAGGATATTTCTGATAGAATTTTGAGTTAAAAATTATTTTCTTTCAGCTCCTTAAAGATGTTGTTTCATTCTCTTCTGGCTTTTATGGCTTCTGATGAAAGATCTGTAGTCATTCAAATCGTTGTTGCTTCATATTTGATGTGTCACTTTTTCTCTGGCTGCAGTTTGATTATGAGGTATCTGGGCATGATTTCTCAAGATTATACTGTTTGAGGTTCTCTGAGTTTCTTGAATCTGTAAATTAATATCTTTCCCCAAAACTGGAAGCCTGTTCATTTTTGTTTTTAAGTCTTTTTTTCTCTGTATGCTTTATGTTGGATAGTTTCTATTGCTATGTCTCTGTTATTTTCACTATGTCACTAATATTTTCTTCTGCAGTGTCTCGTTGGCTGACAGTCCTATCCAATGCATTTTCATTTCAGATATTGTACAGGCACACATCGTTTCATTGTGCTCCACGTTATTGTGCTTCACAGATATTGCATTTTTTACAAGACCCTGTACCAGCAAAAAGATTATGACTTGCTGAAGGCTCATCTGATGGTTACCATTTTTTAGCAATAAAGTATTTTTTAATCTAGCCATGTACATTTTTTGACACTTGGTAGACTACAGTATAGTGTAAACGTTACTTCTATATGCACTGGGAACTAAGAAATTTGTGTGACTCACTTTATTGTGGTATTAGCTTTATTGTGGTGGTCTGGAACCGCACCTGCAATATTGCTGAGGTGTGCCTGTATATTTTATCTGGAATTTCCCTTTGAGTATTTTTACATCTTCTGTTTCTCTGCAATTCATGCTCATGTTTTCCTTTATGTCATTGAGTATATTTTTAAGATTTATAACAGCTGCTTTAGTGTCTTTTTCTGCAAATTTCATCATCTCTGTCATTTCTGGGTTTGTTCCTATTGATTAGTGGAATCTTCTCGTTATAGGTCACATTTTTCTTCCTTGCCACATGCCTGGTAATTTTTGGTTGGATTCTAGACACTGAATTTTCCATATTTATGGAAATGCCATATTTTGTTGTACTTTTAAAAGAATGTTCTTTGTTCTTGTGCTTGCATATCAATTTGATCCCTTTGAAACTTGTTTTTAGGTTTTCTTCTGGCAGTTGCAGAGCAGTCTTTGCTCCTGTCCTAATTTATCCCCTACTATTAAGGCATGACTCTTTTGAATATTCTACCTAACGCTGAGTGATGGGAGTGTGAGCTGTTCCCATCACTGTGTGATGTCAGGGGCATCTTCAGCCTATTGCTTTCAGGTGGTTCTTCCCCCAGCCTCATGGAGTGTTACACCAGGCGCGTGCAGGTCAGTCCTTAGCCACAGACTTGGGGGGCACCCTTTAAAGATCTCTGGAGCTCTCTTTCATTTAGCTCCCTCCTCTCCAATATTCTGACCTATAGATTCTATTCACCATGGGTGATTTAAACTGTGATGTTTTCTCTTCGACTAAATGAGACTGCCAGCTTCTGTTTGAGTTCCTGCTCTCTGAGCTGCAGCCTTGAAGATGTCTCCAGGCAGTAAGCTGGGGCGATCATAGCACTGTTTTCATCATTTCCCTTCTCTTAGAGGTTATAATTCTGAGTGCCTGTTGCCTAATATCTGAAAAGTTGTTTTATGTATTTTCTCCAGTTTTCTAATTATTTATGCCAGGGCAATCCCTGTAGCAATTAATCCTTCATGCATAAGTGAAATTCCAAAAGTAGACCGTTGAGCATCTTTGGTATACAGGGCACTGGGTTACAGTCATGGGTTAAACACATTCCTAGTGGTTTTTGAATGCATACCAAATTGAATGTACCCCCTCATCGGTTATCTGTTTGCCTCCTTTCCCTGGGCCTCCATTTTTGATGCTTTCAATTTGTTCATTCTTTCTGTAAAATTGATTGTGTTTTAGTATAGATGACTGTAGTTGCAGGTCAGAGCTATTGAAGGTCTTAGTCATTTCATGGCTGGACTGTTGCAGTGGACTTATAACTGAGCTGGCTCTTTTCAGTCTCACTCTCTCCAGCTCTCTCTCCCCATCGTCTCCATAGCGACTTTATGTAATCTCCTGGATAACTGCAAACACCTACCGACTCTCCTTTCGCTTCTACCTTGTCCCTCTCTCCCCATCTACAAGTCTATTCTCAACCCAGCAGCTGGAATGATCCTTTTAAAACATAATTCAGATCAAGATACTCTGTTATGTTTCCCCTGAGCGTATGTAAATCCTCAGTGTCTCCCTAGCTCACTCCTAATAAAAGTCAAAGTTCAAGGGCCTTGGGGAACCTGCCTGATCTGGCCCCGTCTGACCCTATCTCCTTCTACTCTTCTCCCTCATTCTGTTCCAGCCACACTGGCCTCCACGCTCTTATTTAAATATATCAGGCGGGTCCCTCACAGCCTTTGAACCAACTGTCTCCTCTGCCTTGAATGCTCCTCCTTCGGATTTCCTCATATTTAACTCCCTCACCTCCTTCAAGGCTTTGGTGAAATGTCACCTTCTCAATGTAGCCTCCCTAGCCTCCCAACTGAATGATGAAATCTGACCCTATCATCCTCTCTGCTTCAGCACTCCCAATCTGTCTAACCCCGCTCTATTTTCTTCCATAACACTTTTATCAGCCTCTAACATACTGGATATTAAACACTTACTTATTTTGTTTAGTATCTGTTACCTCTCCACCTAGAATGTAAACTCCCC